ACCTGGTGCCCTTCCAACGGTGTAAAGCGGGTTGCCTACATTTCACTGTTTTTGCTGTTTTTTTCGATTTTCAAGGCTCTACTGGGGCATGAAGGAGTGGTCACACAGAAAAACGATTTCGCACCGTTAATCACCTCTACTAGTAGAACATTTTCCACGGTGAGCCGATATCAATATCGAAAAAAGTGTCATTTCGACGGACCTTAATATCCATGCAGTCAGGACTATTATCAGCAAACGGCGGGAATTCCAATTAGACTCACACCTTCTAGTTTTGATTTTGCAAAAGCCTACGACTCCATTTTCAAGGCGGTGCTTTGGCAGAGACTGAGAGAGATAGGGAGGACTACTAGGAACCGAGTGCGGATCCTAGGATTTCTGTCCGAGGCCTTTGAAACTCTGGCGGGTGTTAGGCAAGGGGACGCCCTCTCGCCGCAACTGTTCAATCTGGCTCTGGAGTCGGCTATTAGGAGGGTGCTAGCGCTGATGGCGCCGCAGGTAACCCTCCTAGCATATGCCGACGACATAGTGCTGAATGCAGACACGCGGGAACAACTCCTTGAAGCCTGACAGAGTGCGCCAAAATAGGCTTACAGGTAAACCAGGGTTAAACAAAATATATGCTCTCCTCTGTCCAGCAGGTGGCCCCAGCACAACCTGATGACTTGTTTGATGGATCAGGATATTTTGATCTGGACGCTTACAATGCAGAAGAGGACAGAGAAGCTAGCTCAAGGAATATGAACTTGGAACTTAAAATACCCGCTACACCAACTCAAGTATGTCAACCCTCTATACTTCTAAGCAAGACAAAAGAAAAAGCCCCGTGGAGGTCCTTCCTTTGCAACAGAAGTAGGTGAGTTTGAAGAACTGTGTGTGGCAGTGTGACAGTTGAGCATGCCTTGCGTTATGTGGTTTTTCATTCAATTCATACCCTGCTTTTAACTTCAGGCGAAGAATGATGGAAGCCCCACAACGCCTATTGCCAGGCCTCGCGAAGGAAAGGGCACAGGGCTGGCCCCTTTCCTGCCCATCATTACCTCCCCCCATTGGGCGTGCAGCAGCTGAAAAGTCACAGAAGGAGGCAGAAATGTTGTATAAAAAAACTTTACGGGCGGCTGGCTCTTTCGAAAGGATGGGGAAGGAAAATGATGGCAGAGAGGACATCACCGGGGATGTTTTGTGCCGCAATCTGGAGTGCACTCTGAAGGAAATGCCACCTGGTGAAATCGGAGTATGACAGACTTGGCGTAGAAAATTAATTGCTTTAAATGGGGAGTGTGAGATTTTTGTATACAACGCGTATCCTAACGACAAGACAAAGAACACGTTTTAATGATAAAAATGTTCCTATCAATTTATTTCCTCAGGTTCTTTTTGTTCTAAAGTGCCATTCCTTTTATTGATGCCAAACGTTTTTTTGTACTTTTATGTAGATGTCTGTTTCTTGAGTTGGCTTCAAGTACTTACAGGGCAAAAAGAGAACGATTACTCTCCCTCATGTACCTATGAAACCGCCTACCAGCAGTCACCGGGGTGCAGGTTGCTTAGGTGTTTGGTATGAGGTGAGCATGAGTGGAACCCTCCAACGTCGTCGCTCAGCATTGCACGAGTACGTTAACATGAATCATTATGTATGCTCGATGCCTTCACCAACAGCATCACGGAGAAAAATTAAAGTATACGGCGTTAACTCTGAGCCAGGTCCCTGGGTTTTAAGCCCAGTAATCTTATTCTGATATACAAGAGTACCATCTGACCACGTTTATTTTTTAAAAAATATTATTTTAATCTATTTTTTATGTTTTTAATATTTTTTATCTGTTTTGTACATTTCTATTAATCTGCCGACATTGTCTTATAATAAAGCTTATAGACTTCAACGGACTTTAATTATGACCGTTTTTGCCAATAAGATAAAAGTTATTTGTTCTTTATCCTTATACCCGTTTTAGCTGTAGTTTGTTTCAGATTTAAGAACAATGGTACGCACTATTGCCTTACTTTTTATTACTTTGTATTATCTTATATTTACTTTATTTTCTCTTTTCGTCCACCGAGGCCATCTCTGTTCAAATTATAAAAGCTCACCACCAGGCGCTGCCTGTTAAGTACGAAGTTTTAATAAAATAAAATAAAATAAATGAAATGATAACAGAGGCAATAAAAACGTTGGCTGTTTCGCAAATGAAGTTGGTCACGTTTAATATTCTCACTTTATTCTTCGTCTAGTTGCTTTTTACTGGAAGCGGACGTTGTTGTCGACTTCAATATGCTATAATAATTGCTGCTTCCTATAAGCACATTATTATGACACATTCTTGATTCGACGAGTGATAATCTGGGTGTTGGTAGGGATGTACACATGGCAGCGGTACGGCAACCGCTTGTAATCTGCAGCACGACGAATAGTGATTTAGGCCAACGAAGTAAAAGGCACGCTGCCGTTTGGGTGGCACATGCTTCACCATGAACTAGGGTTAGAGTACGACACCGTTTACCCAACGCGCAACACGTTTAGAAATTTCAGCCACCCCTCTTCTCCAAGTCTCGCACCACTATGACTCTGCTGGTACTAGTAACGCTATGAAAACTTCGAAGTTCGTGTTTGTGAAGGGCTGTCTTCAGACAAAGGAACGGACTGGTACCCGCGGTGTGACCGTGGCGCGGAGGTAGAAGCTCACGCCGCGGATGAAATGTTCAAATGCGTTGCGCAGTGGATAAACGAGGTCGTACTCGGTAAAAACAAGGTCTGCGTTTGACACCAATTTGTTACGAAGTTTACTACTTCTTAAGTTACAGCTTGCTAAATATTCATTTTGCCATACTACTCTTGCACCATGCTTTGCGATGATTGAGGTGTCGAGCTCATGCATGGAAGCTGCAAGTGCTCAACACTACGTTCCACACTTTTAAGTGTATCACGGGATATTTGCATGCTGAAAAGTGTTCTACAGTAAAGTTGAGTACTTTGAAGTAGTCAACTGCGGGGTTGGTCGAAAAATTTCAGACACTTTTAAGTGTTCAAAAATGTACTGTTGAACAGCTTTTAGTACTCTCATTTCCATCAGAGAAGTTATCTCGAAGCGGATGAAGCAGGAAAGAAAAACAAGATTATCGGTAATGGAATGAGAAATTGTGGCGTTGACCAATCTGCGATGAGCGTGGCTGTTGCCTGATTGGCACTTGGTTTACCGCCCAATTTCTCATACCATTTCTAACCCTCTCATACTTCTTCCCAAACCATCTGCTTCCAGACAACTCCCCTATTAACCGTTTCACCATAGCGGGCAACACAACCGTATGCGTCTCAGCTGCACACTTTTCCTAGTGCATCGCCTCGAAGGGCATGCGACGTCTGTATTGTTGCTGAGTTATGCTCAATGCGAAGTTTTATGAATTAACACTTACGAACGTTATTAAGGCAGTTGTATTGCCTTCTCAAGCAGTCATTGTCAAACGGCCTCTCGCCATCAGGTTTTCCTGATTCTACTGCGCATACTGGGTCGACAATAGCTGGACAGAACTCTTGACAGTGTCCTCTTCGGTTTCCCTCACTTAGCGCAAAAACACCTGGATTCAAAGTTGTACAATTTCTACTTGTTTGGAGCCTTCGTAAAGCCGTGAAACAATAAAATGAAATGGAAGCAGCAGTCGTTAATCGTTTCCGAGGCTTAAAAAAGGCCCGCCTTGCCGCATACCTAGAAGCACACTGAGTAAGGTGAGCAGCTGTGTCCTTGTCATGTCTGGTGGCCAGCGTTACTGTTGCTGTCGCAAACGTCCTGTAGTTTATAGCTCCTTGTTAGCATACTTGAGGTCGTGTTATCTTCCAGGCTGTGTCCTGCGTGTGTTTTTCTTTAACGCTGTGATAATCAACATCCGGTGCGCACGCAGCACCCCTTCCCACAAGAAAGTTGTCCGCCACGCCAGACCACGTCTCATGTGACGGGCCATAAGGTGTCTCGTGGAACACAGTTGTGCTGTGACACATCAGCGTACCATTATGCAAAGTCTCAAACGATGTCCGAAGGAACAACCACTCCAGATACACAGCTTTCCCTACCTTTCATTTGTTTAACCACCTGAAATATTGGTAAGGTTCAGCGTACGGACCAAACATTGGGTTGCAAGGGAGCTTAATAATATTGAGCGCAATTTGAATAAACCCCTTTAGAAGTTGCCAATGATTTTTTTGGGAGGGGGGGAGGGTACGAATCTGTTCCGTTTCTAGGAACAAATTTTTCCCCTTATATTTAGAGTGTAGACTGAGTAGTTTTCCCCGCTGAACCGCGACATAACGAACTCAACTTCGACAGAAAGGGCGGTAATGTGCTTCGATAGCACGAAGTGGGGTTCAGAGTCCACGAAAAAAAAAACGCGACAGCGTAAATTGCTTTCATAGTTGAAACGGGGCTGAAAACAGGCTGTATTATCACGAGATGGCAGAGGCGACATGGTCAAGATTTTTCTGATATTTAATACGGTAACGAAATCACCGCAGCATTGTCAAACTGTTATTCATGGTACTGTCCCACGACGAGGCGCTTCGAAGGGGCAGCGCATTGCTTATTTCACTTACGTGATAAAATCGACGGCTTGATCTCGCCAGCGGCCCCGTCTGACTGTGCGTCGGTTCCGCCATCATTCGGATTCCCGGTGTAGTAATGCAAGAGGTACACTCAAATTATCAACAATACTATACAACTGCGCTCCCACTGACTGACTCACTCATTGATATAAATGTTTGGCCTCGACCAAAACTGCCATGTAAACCTACTATACCTTTTTGGATCCGCGATACCCCACTTGACCACAGAAAAACCTCCACCTCCATCGTGGGACCTCACTGGGGGCCGTTCAAGGGCCGACTAAATTATTGTTGCGTGGGAGAAAAAAATTAAGTCCAAAAAAGTCGCCATTTTTTTATGGTCTCCTAGGGGGTAACTCGTCATTTTGGC